GGACTGGTGACAACAGACGGAAGCACAGTGGGCGCTCGGTGCCCGCGCACGACTTGTGGACGTGTCTGTGTGCACATGTATGTGTGTGGGCCGTGAGGGTGTGTACCTGGAGCTGTGCGTGTTCACAGGGTGTGGAGTGGGGGTGAGGGGCATAATGGGTAAGCATGCGTGTGTCTAACTGCCCTGTGCAGGCTGTGGGGGCGAATATGTCGGGGTGCACGACAGTGTAACAGTACCGTGTGTGACTGTCTGTGCACGTGTGGGGGGCTGTGCCCCGGGCCCCTCATTCTAGACGGGGCTGGTTTGAGGAGCCTGGCTGGGCCGAGGAGGGTATCTGGCTGTCAGGCCAGAGGTGGGGGGCGGCCCTGCTGGCGGTGACTGAGCGCCAGCTCTCCCACCAGGCCTGCCAAAATACAGCGAGACAGGGTGTAATTACCGGCACTTACCGCGGCCATTACCCCCCTCGCCGCTGCGTGTGACACACGACCCGTCAGCTCAGCGTTCGCACCATTAAGGGGCCTCATTAGCATCCCGGCTCAGAAGCAAAATTACCCTCACTGCTCATTTCAAGATGTCATCAATTTTAATTTAGGGCCCAAAGATAGTACAATGAGAAGGCCCGCCCCAGCCCCCGCACATGGGAAGGGATGAGAGGGTGGGGGAGGAGCTGGGGGCAGCCAGGGCGGAGGGGCACAAAGGGGGAGAAGGGGCTGAGCAAGGAGAGCAGAAAAAGGCTGACCGGCCCCTGCCCCAGGAGGGTCCCCAGCCAGGGCTTCTGCAGCGTCCCCTTGGGAGGGGAGAGGAATGGAGGGCATTGCCAGGGACAGGCCCCTGGTCCACCCACCCCTGAGGGCCATCGGGAAGCTATGACATCCGCAGCCATCTCCAGTGACATGCTGTGTCTAGCACTTCCCTTCAGTCATTCCTTTAATTCCCAAAGCTACCCTGGGAGGCAGACATTGAAGTCCCTCATTACAGAAGGGGAAACTGAGGCACAGGGCGCCCACCCCTCTTCACAGCAAGCCATGCAGAGCTCATTCAAACACAGGCCTGTTTGGCTTTGCGACTCCCTGCCTTTCTGAACCCAGAACCCGTGGCCTCATGGGCAGTCTTCCAGCCCACGTGCCCGGGCCCACCCGACGGCAGTCCCACCAGCCCGCTCAGCCGCGGGCGCCCACACCATCAGCCCTCCACCCTGTGCCCTGTGCCTGCAGTGCCCCTCCCTCCCCGGGCAGCCTGATCCCCACCACTCAGCTTAATGTCACCTCCCCCTTTTAAAAACCCCTTGCTGAGTCCTCACTGCTGTTCTTGGGGGCCGCTCCCCGCCCCCATCTGCCCCCGGATGGGCTGTCCCTTATCCGCCTCTCCTCCTGTCCTGCATCCAGCCCCAGGCGCTGAGCGGGGCTCAGGGTCTGCTGGACACCACTGCCTCCCAGCCGTGCTCCTGCCCTCAGGGGAGGGGAGGACTGTCTGAGCTGGAAGGAACCACAGGTCTGCTCAGCCCACCCCACCTGTTCAGAGGACCAGCCGAGGCTCATCGAGAGGGGGCGGGGCTTCCAGAAAAGCCATTTCTGTCTCAGGGGGCACAAGCAGGTGGGCACCAGTCTTTATTTAGAACAAATGACTGAACACATGAATGAAAGCGGGTGGAAGGTCCCTCTCCCCAGGCACCTGCAGGTCCCTCCCGGGACAGAAATCTCAGCTGTTCCCTCACCAGGACTTGCAGCAGCTGGACTTACTCCCAATCCTGGGGAGTCTGTATTTTACAAATGGAGTCTCCACCTGCAAGGGGGACTTCACAGGCCAGTGGAGAAGTTTCTGGAAAGTCTGGTTTGGGAGGTGGAGGAGCCTGCTTGTTCTTTGCAGCCAGCTCTGCCACCCCGGTCTGTCTTGACTCACAGTGGGGCCACGGTCTCCCAAGTGTAGAGCGGACACGGCGCGGGGCTCAGGGACAGGCCGCAGTGTGGCAGGGCCCGGGCCCAGCCAATTACTGCGGCTGCCCCCGCCCGACTGAGTCCCGCCTGCCTCCCCTGCTGCCTGACACCCCAGCTCCCTGGCCACCGCAGGAGAGAGAAGGGGCCCCCTCCGAGCCCCGAGACAGGGTCCTTGCTGGCGGCAGGCCCGCTCCCAGGCCTCGCCGAAGACGGATCGCTCCCTTAATCACTCTGGAAAAGAACCCCAAGCCGATATAATATTATAATTAATTAATTCACTAAAAAGGTATTAAATTTCTCTCCCCCCTGTGGATATTATCTGAATTCATTGACCTTTAGAAAAATCACCCTCTAATTGTAACCAGGTCCAAAAGCATTTGCAGCCCGTCCCTTTTACATTAATAATATCTTCCCGGACTTGGCTCTGGCTGCTTAAATATTGTATAAATTCCACTGCCCCCCTGGAAAAGAGAGAGCAAGGAAAAAAATGAGGCTGGAGGAGCCTGAGAGGGGGATGGGGGCCAGACCCTAAGAGGCGGGGGTCCCAGAGGGCGGGAAATGAGGTGAATTGAAGGGGCTCTTTCTGGCTGCTCCGGCTGACATGCCAGGTGGCTTGAAGGGGCACCGGAGGGAAGGGGGCATGGACTGAGAGCAGGAGTTAAATTTGGAGTTCATTTTTTGGAGGCGGGGGGGGGGGGTCAGGGAGAAGATTCATCTGATTCTCATCCAAGTCAATGGCTCCAAATAGCAAAGGAAGAATCTGATTGAAAGGAACCTGTGAAATTCCAAGGAGGACATTCTGAGGTTCTGCTTCTCCCCTCCCAGGCTTCGCTCTGGCTCAGCTTCCCAGACAGCCGGGTCCTACAGGTGGCGGGCAGGCCTTGGGGGAGGGGTGGTCGGACGGCCAGGACGCCCAACAGCTGAGGCGGTCGGTACCAAGGAACAGAGAGCCAGTGCCACGCCAGCCTGGCCTCAGCGGGGCCACAGTCCACTCCTGCCCTCAGACCTGAAGACATTTCCTTTTGCTCTTTTGTTCCTTCTCAAGGCCTGGGGGGCTCCCTCAGGGAAGTGAGGGCGTTGGACAGGTCCATCTCTGCTTTCACACCAGCCCCTCCCCACTCCGCCTTTGGGAAAATAACTCCCCCTGTGCACCTGAAGTCTGCAAGGGTGTTGTCTAGCACACAAAGAGCAGGGATGAAGAAAGCATTCCCTTCTTAGCCACTCAGATGTTCATGGCCACCAGTCAGGAAGCTCTGGCCTGACTCCTTTCCAGCCCCAGACTAAGGTTCACGCAGAGCACTCTCAGATCCACGAACACGTGCTGGTGGCTTGCTGAAATGCCTGCCTTCTCCGGCCGGGTAGGACTGCAGGGCCCCCAGGCAGACGGTCTGGAATGTACAATTAAGCTAAGACTCCCCTCACCTCTCCCCTCTTACCCCCCAACCAGGTTGACAACCGCCAGCTCCTGACCCTTTGGCGCCCTCTTGTGGGTAGAACCCCACTCACACCCTCAGTCTTGCCCATTGGACCGCCAGACCTGCTGGGGAGGAACCCAGGGTGCAGGAAGCCAGCAGGCAGGGGCTGGTGCGGATACGGTAGTCTTGAGGGGCTGCGTGAGGAAGCTGATGGGAAGCTTTCTACACACTGAGTGAATGCTCAGGATGAAGAAGAACAAATGGGGTAGGAGAGAGTTCTGAATCACCTGAAGGACTGGCCCCCAGAGCTCCCAGACTCCCACCCGCTCTGGTGCCCAAACAGCCCACACCGGGACCCACCAGGTATCTCTCAGTCCCAGGGCGGATGGAGGGGTGCTCCCAGGGCTTGGGCAGGTCCCCGGCCGGCTCAAACTCCACAAAGTCATCTAGGCTCGACCTGACCTCGAGACCCCGCGGCTGCCAGCCCAGGGCCAGCACTGCCCACGCCCCTTCCTGTCCTGCCCTGGCGCACTAACTGCTCCAGCGTCGGTCTGATCTCCTGCTCTGCGCAGAGGGAATTGCCCTCTTAGCCGTTTTCACCCTGGCATTTTCTTATTTTTAAATTAGGCCCTTTCAGCCGCTCAGGGCCCCACGAGGAGGAATCTACTTTGATCTCTGCCTGAAGGACTGGGAAGTGGAGGGAGAACTAGGCAAAACCCCAAAAGACCCTCTCCTCACTCCCCCCGGACACCTGGGGCTCAAGAAGCTGCCACCCCACCCCTTGCTGCCACAAGCCCGTGTACCCATCCTGGGCGAGGTCACGCCGTCCCAGGGTGGGGGGCAGAAGCCCTTGGGAGACACCGTGGGGTGGGGAACTGAAGCCCAGAGAGAGGAAAAGATTTGCCAGGGCCTCACCCTCTGGCCAGAGCAGGGAGTAGGAGCGTGTCCGTGGCTCCACCCCATGTCCTATATGCCTGCCTCCTTCCAAACCAGTTCACGTGGGTCCTCGGTCCCCAAACCCATAGAAGAACACAGCCCCTCTTTACTAGGGACACTATGTCAGCTAGAGACACTATGTCAGCCAGCAGAGGGGCGGCGCTGCCTGCTTCTCCAGACTGATCTGAGCCCGCCAAGGGAGGGGGAAGAATTTGGAGAGGTCACCACTAAAAGTGGGGGTGGGGAGCAGGAGAAACATGCCCCCCACCCCAGCCAGTGGTAGCCTGGGCCAAGGGTGTCCGAAGCAGCAGCTAGGAACAGTAGACTTGGGCTCCCATCCAAGTACTAACCAGGCCCGACCCTGCTTAGCTTCCGAGATCAGACGAGATCGGGCGCGTTCAGGGTGGTATGGCCGTAGACGGAACAGTAGACTTGGTTTACCAGCAGCCTAGTCCCCACGTCATCCAGCCGGCTCTGAGGGTGTGAGACCAGCGTGGCTGCAGCGCCATCTTGTGGCCACGAGGAGAGACAATGCCCCCACCAGCACCAAGCCCGGAGTGAAGCTAGCTGTACCGCCTGTTCCCAGGGGCAGGGCCGGGGAGCTGGGGGGAACCAAGTGATGGGCTTGTTCCCTCCTCTCTGTATCCCCGTACCCTGACCCCCACTGGGGCATTCAAACTATCCAGAAAGGAGCCCGCTGGATTGAATCCTGCTCTTTTCCGTCAGCCCCAGACCCCCTCAAAGAGACAGGACAAAGGAGTATAAAGCACAGTGTTTACTAAAGGCACAAAGTGGGAGCCTGGAGGGGAGCTGCTCTTCCAGCAGTGACCCCACACCAACCTGAACCCAGCGCCCCCTCTGCCGGCCACCCCTGCCCTCACACCACCTGGTGGAGAGCTGTTAGCACCAAAGGGGGGCTGGGGGCACCCCACCTGTGTGAGGGGGACAGCCAGGCTGGAGGGCGGCTTGTTGCCATCTGAGTCGCAGACAAGCAGGCCTGGGCACCCCCTGGACCAGTCACTGCTTCAGAGAAGGAACTTCCTGAACCCCCTGCTCCTTCATTGGTGGGGGTGGGGAGAGCAGGCTCAGAAGACAGGACCCTCCGGCTCTCTTCTTACCTCCAGCACACACACCCCAGGAGCCCGGCTGGAGACCTGTTCCTGCCCAGCCCCTCAGGAGGGCCCCTGGGGAGCACTGGCCGGGTGAGGGCTTCCCCTGCCCCACGGGCTGCCAAGCGGGCACTAAGTCCAAACAAGGGGCCGACAGGGAGGTGAGGCAGGGCAGGTGGCTACTTCACACACAAGTGCAGCCTGCAGTGGGGCGGGAGGCGGCCCTGGCCCTCCCAGCCCCCAGGCCTGCCGGCCCCCAGGGTCACAGCACATCGCCCTCCTCCATGCTGAAGCTGCTCCTGCGGCTGCTGGCCTTGGAGGCCTCGGGGGACATGGTGGAGAAGAGGGGGTCGGAGGCTAATGGCAGCAGTGAGTTGTCCAGGAGCATGAGGTCCAGGTCCTTCTTGGACAAGTTGGGGAACAGGGAACCATGCTCCGGCCCCAGAGCTTCAGGGTAGCCTGGGGGCCCTTCATCGCCCCCGCCCCCAAAGCTCAGGCTGTGGCTTAAGTCCAGATGGTGGAATGGGGATGGTGGCTGGGGTGGCTGGGCTGGCGGGGGCATTGGGGCATGGGGGGGCAGAGCGGGCAGTGACTCGGCATCAGGGACCTCGGCCCCCAACAGCAGGGCCTCCCCAGGGCCCTCCTCGCTGGGCAGCTCCTGCTTCACCACCTGCTGGGCCAGCTCAGCCATGTTCATGCCGGACGGGGAGGTGGTGGGCAGGCCGTGCACTCGGGCCTGCATCTCCAGCTCCTGCGGGCAGGCAGACAGAGGGCTAAGGGCACGCACCCACGGGCCCCAGCCGCCCCGGACCCCTTCCCCTGTGCCACCAAGACCACAAAATGTCTCGGCATAGGGGAGCTCTAGAGTCTAGACCAGTGTTTTGTCAAACTATAAGTCGCAACTTGTTAGTGGGCAGTAAAACCTGTTAGTGAGTCTTGACCAGCTCTCTCTATTTTCCTTAATTGAAACAGACTTGCCTAGACTAGACTAGACTAGAAATTACCAGAATGCATTGCATCTATTAAGGATGAAGGTTCTTTGATGAAACTTTGATCTTTCACTTTGAGTGTGGCTGTGTGTGCTGGTTGTAATGTAAATTACAGTGTCTACTATGAGAAAGAGAAAGAGAAATAGGAATATTTAAACGCATCAGTCCAACCGCCCTTTATACAGATGACCAGCCTCAGGCCCAAAGAGCACAGAGGCCCTCAACACAGAGCCAGGGCTAGACTAGACCCCGCGGTTCCCGGTGACTCCCAAGCCTTTGTTCTTCAGTTTGCCTCCCATGGTGAGCCTCAGCGACATCCACCAGCAGCTCCGGCTCTGTGCCTTGCACACGCGGTGGGCTTGCACTCCCGCCCCCTGAGGTTAGATGTAGACATGTACTTGCATTGATCAAGAAAATATATGCAGAAGTGTCAAGTGTCATCTGAAGAGTAACATGGCTTTAAGAGCGAGCTCTAGCCCTGGCCAATTTTGCTCAGTGGTTAGAGCGTCGGCCCACGGACCAGTCTCGAGTTCAATTCTGGTCAAGGGCATGTACCTTGGTTGCGGCTTGGTCCCCGGCCCTGGTCAGGGTTGTTTGGGAGGCAGCCAGTTGCTATGTCTCTCCCATGTCGATGTTTCTCTCTCTCTCTCCTCCCCGCCCACTTCCTCCCTCCTACTCTACCTGAAGATAATGGAAAAATATCCTCGGGTGAAGTTTTTTTTTAAAAAAGGAGTGATCTCCATATGTACCTGTCGATCGCCCTGGGTCCCAGAATGCAAGTCTCACAGAACAGAAACTCCAGCTGCTATTTGCTGCTTAAAGTTGCTGGGAATGCTTGTTACCAAACAATAACATCCTGACTGATACATCGTGCCTTCTCATGACATAATTCCCATGACTTCAGTGTAAGCACCGCCCCTGAGGTCAAGAGCCAGGCCAGGGGTCAGGAGTCACAGCTACCCAAGAAGTCCAAGTGCAGGGGCCAGACCTGGATTCGGAGCCAGAGCTGCTTGTTGGTCATCTCCAGGCGCCGAGAGTGGTTCTCAAGCTCGCGGGACTTCTGCAGGTCCTTCTGCATCCTCCGGATGTAGTCCACAGAGGCCTTGAGGATGGTGCCCTTGTTCCAGCGCACGTCCCTGCAGGACAGCACAATCAGAGGCGCACACATGGAGGGCCGAGGATCTGCCAGGCACCCGGTGGGTGGAAATAAAGCCCTGCTTCGGTTTCAGAAGCTAATGTCGCCTGTCCCAACTTTGCCCACAAACCCCAGACCCAGCCACCCCGGTCTGTGGATGAGGCCGAGCTCCATGTGTACAGAACAGGCCCCCATGTGACTTCGTCGCCGCCGCCACCTCACTAATCCCGTGGAACCAAGCAATTCAGAACAGCCTCTTTCCCGGGGCCTTCCCTTGCTGCCAACAAAACCCACACCTGGCCTTGACCCTCCCTGCCCCTACCCCTGGACCACGTCTGCACCAGTCCACTGTCCTCAAGAAACTTTCCCAGCCTGGCTCCTCCTCCGGGAAGCTGCCCTGACCAGCCTCCTTCCAGAACAGCTGCTCATCTGTCTTGAGTTTCCTGATTTGGTCAAGGAGGGGCCTTCTTTCCCGAACGGCTGAGGCGCTCTTAAGAGGCAGCAATCAAGGGATCCTCGCCCCGCTCCCCCGGCAACTGGCATGGGCTGGTCGTTCCACCTTCTCCCGTCCCTCCTCCAGAACCCGGCTCACAGGTCGTTGGCCTTGGGGATCAGCATTCCCAACTCCTTGATGCGGTCATTAATGTTGAACCTCCGTCTCCTTTCAACTAAAGGTAACAAATTCCGGAGGGAGCAATTAGAGGCATGAGTACCCCACCTGGGGAGAAGGGCCCAGCCCAAGGAAGGGTGCCTTGGCCCTTCTGGGAAGTAATGGGTACCCAAAGGAATGGGAATTCTATGGGGTGAGGGTGCAAGCCAGGCAGAGTCAAGGGGCTCTGTGGGGAGGCAGAACCCGCCCTGGGGGAGCTGCTAGCAGGCCAAGCTGCCTGGGTTAGGACGCCCCTAATGCCCAGAACTCCTTCCAGGAGTTCCCAGGTTCCACACCCCAAAGAAAATAATCTGAGAAACTCATTCACTCGGAAGTGCGGGGGATTTCGTGACGACTCCCCGGGAGCCCCTCTCCCGCCCCCTCGAGAACAGGGCAGTCTGAATCTGGCCCAGGCCCGCCAAAGGCCTGGGCAGGGAAGCTTCCTAGAACCTGGGCAAAGAGGGAGGCAGGGTGGGGGGACTCACTTAGGTTGTGATTGTCCTTCTTCTGCCGCTCCTTGGCCAGGGCCCGGCTCTCGGCATCTGGAGGCCAGGAGAGAAGCAGGGAGGAGCTGGGAGGAAGGGAGGGGGAGGGGGGCAGGACACAGGGAGGCAGGTAGGTGGTACCTGTAAGCTCACGCTTCTGGGTCAGGTCGGCTGGGCAGGAGCTGCTGGTGACACCCACCAGGGAGGCTGTGACCTGAGGGTCACCACTGTACACGTTCAGGTGGCTGCTGGACAGCGGCAGCTGTGGGACGAGGTGGAGAGAGGGCCCCGGTGAGCAGCCCTCGCTCTGAGGGGTCCTCCCCAGGGCCCATGGTTCCAGGCACAGCCATGCCCAGGACATGGAGGGAAGCTGCCGGTGTCTCCCGGGCCTGCTGCCAGCACCAGGGATGTCGGTGCGCCCTGGGCCTCAGCCAGCGATTCCACCCGAAAGTCTGCAGAGTGGAGTGAGCGGGATGCAGGCCCATGAGTTCGGGCAGCTGGGCCCTCGAGGACAGCCCTGGGCCAGCACTGCTGGGAGGGGACTGTGCCCCAGGCATTAGGACGCAGGGGCGGGGCACCTGATCTGGAAGGTGTCCCCCAGAGCTGTGAGGAAGACCTCTACAGGGAGGTGAGGAGGAGCTGCACAAAGAAGGGAGCTGGAGGGCCGCCGGGACCTGCCCGCGGACCTGACCTGCCGGAGTGCAGTGCGGTGGGGCTGGGGCTGTGCAGGAGGCCAGCTGGAGCCAGCGGTGCTGGGTTCAGTTTGCAAAGACCCTGGGATTTGGGGCTGGGCAGCCAGTGGGGGTTTAAACAGGTGCCCGACAGGTAGATTTGAGCTCTGGAAAGACCTCCCTAGCTCCTGTCACAGAAACATACTGAGCAAACCACAGGTCCAGAACCCTACCCGGTACTCAGGCACCCTCCAGGGCACACAGAACCCCGAAAGGGACCGGACCCTTGTGCCCCCTCTCCTCCCCCCCGCCCTCTCTCTGTTCCTAGACCTGGATGCCCAGCTGGCAGAGGTTTCCGACCCAGCTGGCCCTGGACAATGTCACAGGGCACTGGGGATTTAGGAGTGACTCCCTGATTCCCCACTGTGAGAACTGGGGTTCCCTCTATGGTGGCATGGGCTGGGGCCAGGATCGGGGTAACAGGCTCAGGCCCAAGGGGCAAGAGTAAATAGCTGAAGTTCAGGACTTCCAAAAACGGGGTGGGGACACCCACAATTCCACCTGCTCAGTGCAAATACCAGTCACCTTTGTGTAATGTTAGCCCCAGTCGCTTGCCTTATCTAATCTTCCCCCAGTCCTGTGAGGAGAAGGTATCGTCCCTATTCTGCAGCTGAGAACCAGCTCAGAACAGTTAAGAGACTTCCCAAGGTCAAAGTCAAAGCCAGAAGCCAGGCCTCTTGATTCCTAGGCTGGCTCCTTCCCCCGCCACCGCCCCTCTGCCCAGGAGGCCCAGAGAGCGTCCAGCTGCCAGAGGCTGCTGGAGGAAGGGGACAAAGCCGTCCGTGTCACTCACCCTGGAGTGGGGACACAGGCTATGCCCACTGGACCACAAGGTCAGTAGAGGAGGGGAGCCCCAGCTCCCAAAAAAACTCACCAGCTCTGGGCCCTGCTGTGGCCACACTGCTGCCCTCCAGAAATGGTCTCCCCACCCCCCTGCTGAGGCCCAGCACCTGCCTCCTGCCCCACCCACCAAGGAAGACTTCCTCCCCTGCCCAGGCACCTCTCCCTGCTAAAGCCCCATTGGGCGTACAGGCGGAGGCCTGGCCTTCTGGGCCCATGACTCTCCTGGGCCCGGGGCCCTCAGTACATGATCTGATGGAGGCAACCCCATTCCAGGTTCTCTCCGGACCCAGCCGTGCAGGACCTCTGCCCCCCTTCGCCCCCTCTGCCCCTCTCTGTCCCCCTCTGCCCCCATCCTGCCCCAGCCACCCCATCCAGCATACCGTGTTGGGCATCTGAGATTCAGGGTTGATGAAGCCCAGAACGTCGTCCAGACACATGATGTTGTCGATGACGTCAAACTGAAAGAGAAAGGTCTGCCTGGGAGGGCCCACCAGGAGAGGGCGGGGAGGGGCCTGGCCAGCCACTGACCTGAAGGCACCCTAAAGCCCGCCTTACTCAGCCCGCTCATCTGAGGGAGAAGGAACCAGGCCCAGAGAGGATGAACTGTCCAGGTCCCACAGGCCCCAAGGCCCAGGGCAGTTCTCCTCCCAAGGAGACAAGTTGCCCAGGGAGATTACTTTATATACCTGCTGTCGGCCCCTGGCTTTGCAGGTGTGCTGAGCTCTCCTGTATGAGTCCCCCTCAGCCTGGGCTCCCTGAGGACGGGGCCGTGTCCCCTCAGACTGGGCTCCCCGAGGATGGGGCCGTGTCCCCTCAGACTGGGCTCCCCGAGGATGGGGCCGTGTCCCCCTCAGGCTGGGCTCCCTGAGGACGGGCCCATGTCCCCTCAGACTGGCTCCCTGAGGACGGGGCCATGTCCCCTCAGGCTGGGCTCCCCGAGGACAGCATCTTGCCTCCTCCATTAGACAGGAGTCCCCGGAGCACAGCACGTTGTGTTGGTGGCAGCTCTGGCCAGCTCCTCACTCACCTCCCTCTCGGGGTTGGAGCCAATGTGCAGCATGGCCATGGGGCTGTTGGGCGCACTGTTGCCCGCTGAGGAGGACACCACATGGCCGGCCCGCACCCCTGGGGAGGCGGCTGGCAGGGGCTTCGGGGAGCCCTGGGCAGGGCTGATGTGGGCAGCAAACTTGTTCCCGTAGGTCTCGGACAGGTACTCCCGCACCTTCTGGTCCCGGGACTGCTGCAGGTGGTAGGAGGTGGGGTTCTCCAGGTAGGACTGAACCTGGGAGGGGAGAAGGCAAGGGTCGCAGTGTGTCCTAGGACCAGGGCAGGAGGGGACAGGCCCGAGCAGGCCCTACCTTCAGCACCTCCCCAGGCACGGGGGGTGGAGACTGGAAGTGGACGGGGGTGCTGATGGCCTGGGTGGGCGGCGCCCCCAGCTGCTGCTGCTGCTGCTGCTGCTGCTGCATGTAATGCATGACGGCCTGCTGCTGCATGCGCTCCCGCTGCTCCTCCTGCTGCGCCTGCTCCCGCATGAGCTGCATGCGCAGCCCGATGCGCGACGCCATGGCGGCTGCTGGCGCTGTCCTGTGGGCGGGGGGACAGGTCGGTGAGGCTCGTGTCCTGTCCGGGGCCCTGGGGCTTGGGAAAGGGCCGAGACAAGAGGGATGCACCCGAAGGCTCTGAGGCCCAGAGAAGGGAAGGGATTTGCCCAAGGTCACCGAGCAAGTGAGTGACACAGCTGAGACCAAAACGCAGTCTCCTGGTCCCTCTGCTTTGCACAGGGCAGTCGGTCAGCCCCCAAAGGTGACGTCCACCTCACTCCTCTTTCTCTCGTGTCACATGGTCCTGTCAGATCCGACCTCACATACATCCTTGCTGTCACCACTACCTGGCTTCCTAAAGGAGCCGCCTCATGTTCCAACACCCCCCTTTTCTTGTTTCACAATATTTTACTCACAACTCAGTAATTAGAGGGATCCTGTTAAAACTTAAGTCAGATCCTGCCCCTCCCTCTGCTCAGAACTTGCCATGGCTCCCCCTTCACCAGTAAAAGCCAAAGTCCTTACCAGAAAAGGACCTCTAGACTCTGTGGCCATCTTGTGGAGCCCCTGACCCCAAACCCTCTTACTCCCCTGCTCCACCTGCGCTGGCCACCCCAAGCCCACCTCAGGGCCTTTGCACGTGCTCTTCCCTCTGCCTGGGATGCCCTTTCACCAGATACCACAGTGGCTCCTTCCTTCATCTTCTGCAAGTCTCATAAGCATCACCACACAGACTTTCCATGACCACCCTATTTAAAATGACAAAATCTCCACCTCTTTTATGTTTCTCCTTATCACCTATTGTCATCTTAAATATTATGCATTTTTGCTTAGTTCTTTCATTCACTGTCTATCTCTTTCTTACCAAGAATGCGAACTGCCCGAGGGCAGGCATTTTGTCTGTCTTGCTCCCTGTTGTCCCTTTGGCCTCTAGCCCAGGGCCTGTGAGGGCAGACGCTTATCAATGTGTGCGGGGACATTTGCTATTTATGAGCCAGGCACTGTCCAGACAGCAGCACATCGACTCTGGTCCCTGAGCGCGTGGAGGCCACAGAGCAGTGCGAGAAAGGCAGGTCCACGGGCCGTTAGGACCTGTGCAGGGACGGGCGCTTCGGGCACCGGGTGCTGCTAGGGCTGCGTGGGCTTCTCACCTGCCAGACGGCAGCCTGACCTTTGATGGGATCAGGTGGGACAGGGGGACTAAGGCCTCCAGGCCCAGTCTGCAAGGACGGAGGACAGGACAGAATGAGTCCTGCAGCTGGGCCCATCTGTCTCTAGCTCACTAACCCTGGTCTCATCCCTCCCCCTCGCTGAGCCTCCATATACCTGTGCACAGTATGACAGGGTTGGACCAGGTGATTTCTGAGGTCCTTCCCAGCTGGGAAGGGCTGGGAATCTCTGAAAGGTGCAGGGCTCCTGCGGGTGCCCAGACTCCAAACATCCTGGCAGGGGCCGGAGGGGCCGGTTCCAGGGATTTTGCAAGAGGCAGCATGTCTTCATGGTTAAGCAAATGCTATCAAACAGGGCAGGCTGCTTCTTTGCTGTGTGACCTTAGGCAAGTCACATAACCTCTCCGAGCCTCAGTTACCTCATCTGTAAAGTTTCTACTTTAGAAGATTAGTGAGACTGTTCAATAAAAATAATGTGTCTTGAGCAGCACATGGCACTTGGGAGGCTAAGCGGGTGAGCCATGGACAGGCAGACTGGCAGCGTCAGCTGCTGGGCAGACCAGAGGCCAGAGCTGCAGCCAGGGGCCTAAAAATGAGCCCGAGACCTCTGCAGATGGCGAAGGAAAGCAGCACAGGCTGACAGATTCCGTCAAATGCCAGACACCACACATAAGCATGAGCGGAAGGTATTGGCCAAGACTCCGTGAGAGTCCCTGGCTCACGGGGTAGGAATCACCTGCGTCGTCGAGCGCTTGCTGTGTGCTGGGCACAGAGCAGAGCCTTCCCGTGCAGCGCCCTGCGAGGCGCTCTGGGTTGGTAGTCCCCTTGCACAGAGAAGGGAAAGAGGCACAGGGAGGTCGAGGAGCCTTCGTAAGGACAGAGGCTGAGCCCCAATCCCAGGGTGTCTGGCCCCCTGGCCCATGCTGGGCGTGGGGTGTCTGGAGACCACCATGTCCCCATGCAGACCTGGGAAGCAGCTTGTCCCGGTTGCAGAGCTGGTTGATCCAGGGCCAGGAATGGAGCCCAGGTCAGCTGACCCCCAACCCAGGCTCCACCTACCACCACAGCTGCTTCCCTATAAAGAGGGACAGCACCCCCCCCCCCCATGTGTGAGCCCTCAGTGGCCCTCCCGCACCACCGTCCTTGGCCAGGGATCAGTGAAGGGGCTGCCTCAGCCCCAGGGGTCTCTGCCCAGCTCCCAACAGGGCAGTCCCCAAGGAAAGAGGGGCAGACATCCTGTCTGTCCTGTAGCAAGAACACAGCTGCAGCCTCCGCCCCTGTCCTGTGCCCTGACAGAGGGGCAGCCTGTCTGTGACCCCACTGTCCACCTCACACACCAGTCCCACGGCTCTGACCCCAGCCACCCCCTCACAGCTGCACCCACACTCACACAGCAGTGCTGGGGAGCCCCCCGTCTCAGGAACAATCTCACTTCAGTTGGCTCTGGGGGCAGGAGACTGGGCCTGGCAGTGCCAGCCGGCACGGGGAGAGTGGGGGAGAAGGAGCCCCTTGTTTCTCTGACAAAGGGCTGGGCCAGAGCTGGCTCTGCCCGAGGAGACCCACCGGGCCGCTCAGCCGGTGCTGGCTGCCGCAGCCTTGTCTGCTCACGTGTCAGCGGACGCAGGACTCCCCGTGCCACCACCCTCGAGGTCTGTGCGCGCTTCCTGGGACAGGATATGGGAGACTGGGAACCATGCGGGGTCCCTGCATCAAAGGCTGTGGGTGGTCTCAGCCTGTCCGGCCCCCACCCCCTGACAGGTGGCTCAGCGGTCCATCGTCAAAGCTGTCACCGACCCCAGATCTGCTCCCTGCAGAGTCCTGGCCTCCTCCCCTGGCCCGCAGGAGGGACTTCATGGGATCCGAGGGGTCCCGGAGAGACAGTGGGCATGCTAACCGCCCCCCAGGTACACCGCCACTCAGAGCCTGAGGGCCGCCCGCAGTCTCCCGCTGCCTGGTCTTGGCGGGAAGTCCGTGAGGAGGGACACAGGGGAGCCCAAATGTCCGGACGTGGTGAGCACACCGTACAATACACAGACGATGTTCTACAGAATCGTACGCCTGCAACCTGTATAATTTCATTAACCAATGTCACCCCCATAATTCAATAAAAAAGTCAAACAGCCCTGGCCAGTTTGGCTCAGCGGTTAGAGCGTCGGCCTGCGGTCCAGAGAGACCCGGGTTCGGTTCCCGCTAAGGGCATGTACTTCGGTTGCAGTTTGTACCCGGCCCTGGTTGGTCGTGCAGGTGGCAGCCACTCGATGTGTCCCTTCACGTCGATGTTTCTCACTCTCTCTCCCTTCCTCTCTCTCCCTCCCACTCTATCTGTACAAAAAATGGAAAAATGTCCTCGGGTGAGGATAAAAAAACAAACAAACAAACAAAAAAGTCAAACAAACAAACAAAAATGCTCCCGGACCCCTCCCACCATCTGACCTCCAGACCCACCAGGCCTGGAGAGGGTCCACCATGCATGTCCTTAGTCACACCAGGGGCCCTGAGTGCCCACTACACGCGGACACTGGAGCTGGGGTGTTTCCCTGAAGAACCTTCTCCCTGCCCCCACCTCAGGTCACACCCGCCTCCTGAGGGGACCAGGGGCTCTGCTGCCCCAGAGAATTCCTGGCCCTGCCCAGTTGCGTGGCAAATGTAGCCGGGCCTGAAGTTTCAGTGCCCCTCATACTGCTGTTAGCTGAGGCAGGTCCCTTCCGCACCTCAGAACCCACAGGCCACTTCCTGCCACTGTTTACCCAGAGCTTCCCCTCACCCCTACCTCTGCACTAAGCTGACTCCGGGTTCTAGCTTAGCTGTGACCCAAATGAGCTTCGCAGTCCAACAGAGTCGGCTGAAGCCCCTGCTCTGCCCAGACTGGCTGGGTGACTTTGGGAAAGCCACTTAACCTCTCTGTGCTTGGTAAATGGAGCCAGTAATGGTTTTCTCCGTGGTAAATGGAGCCAGTAACATCAGCTCCTCATCGGACTGTTGTGAGGATCCGCGGAGACAGTGAGTGAGTGATCAGAACGCTCCTCAGCTGAGACCTCAGTCCCTGCTCCGTTGTCCGCAGGGCTGTGGAGGGGCAGCAGGGCCCTGGGACAGGCCCAGGCACGGGTAACAGGTGGCTGCTGGGCTGCCTCCCGAGACTGCGCGCCTCTGCCCAGAGCAGGTTTCGTACCAGCAGGTGCGTGGGCCTCTCATCAGTCCTTACACCTCAGTACGAGTAGCCGAGCGGACCTCTCCTGAAGGAAGATGTGGACAGAGGAAGAGGAAAGACAGGGAGAAATCGCTGCCCCCCCCCCCCTTGCGGGACAGACAAGGAGAAAGGGCCCCAGAACAGAAAAGTCTCTGACACAGGAAAAAGATCTCAGATACAGCACTGAGTGGAAAAAGCAACCTGCGGAATGAAAGGTGCAGCCTTGGGCCACTTGGGCAGGAAGTGGGCAATGTGCAGAGCAGATCAAGGGATCAGAATGCTGCTTGAGTCCCGCCTGGATCAGGGCCGTGCTTTTCACACACCAGCTCATCTGTCCTCTACAACCCTATGAGGTGGCTGCTGTCACTGCCCCCAGTGTCCAGGGAGACACGGGGGCACAGAGAGGTCAAGTAACTTGCCCAAGGTTTCACAGCTGAGAAGCAGCAGAATAGAAATTTGGTCCAGGCAGACTGGTTCACAGCCCCCACTCTGTATCCACTATTCTGAGCTTCCCCAACACCCCAAACTATTCAGAGTGGTTCCCCCTGGGAAGGGGAGTGGGGAATGGTAAAAGGGTTTTTTTATAGTTTCTTATTCCATTTTCGAATCACTTATTCTTAGAATGCGAATATATGCTATTTATGTGATTCTTTTCAAACAAAGGAAAGAGCCCTGGCTGGTCTGGCT